TCCGACTGACGGTCACCGCGACAACCCTGCATTCTATGTTTGGAGACAATCGTGACCGGGGGGCGCCGGCAGGAGTTTATCCATCCAATTCTGATAATTTGCATTTTTCTCCCGTCGTTACCTACTGTCTTTCAGCGAGACAGCCTGTTTACTTGTTCATAACATCAATGAAATGACCCGCTGATAGGACCGCTTGGCTTCAACAGGGTCACTGCGAGACAAACACAGTTATTTTGTTAACGTTTAAGCAACATTATGACATCAAGTTGAGCACGACCATTGCATGTGCGCACCTCTCGAGTGTATATGCCTTAGCACAATGATTTCGGCATGGTTCACCTGAAGTACAATAGTTGTACCAAAACGATAACATTTAAATGATTGATCTAGTCCACACTTCTCAAGGCTGGAGAGAGCATCGGTAAATGCTTGAACCGGTAAGGAAATAGCACACAGCTACGCATCCGCTTCGAAGTGAAACGAGTGCGTCATTTCATGTATGAAACATGATGAGTTTCCTCAACTTAAACAGCAAAGAACTAAGTGTCCTCACCCCATCCACACTAACAACCGCCGCCACACGACTACGCCGCGGCGGCAAACGCGACTCTGAGCGTTATACAGCACAATTGACGTAGAGCTCACAGCATGTGTGTGTGGACGGTCGTTGCCCGCGCGCGTTTAAATCGCCTTGGCTTCACACGACGGGCCTCGAAACTGGATAGTCGGAGGCAAGGCAAGCCGACTGCTCACACACGCACACCGCTCACACACCCACATCGCCACCGCATACGTTATGTTTACATTGTGTTAACAGCTTTGTTGACGTACGGTTGTGTGTTGCGGCAGATGTCCTACATGATAACTCGGTCCAGCGATTGTAATTTCTGTTCTCTGGCACATACAGGGAACATTTTACCGCAATTTACATGATATGTCACAGTAAAGTGTTTCTAACCGTATATGTTTCACATACGTTCAGTCACACCTACATTTTGCAGCCACCGAGGCGGTCGCTCATTGCTGAAAAATTGCTGTTGTGAATCAAGTCTCTTACTACTATCTATATCATGCGCACCACACACCAGCTTCCTCAGCAAGTGCCTGTGTCTTTCAAAACAGTTCTTGTTAATGTCAATGCACACACACACAACGGCGCGGCGCGCGCGCGCCGTCAAGGACGATCACACACAACACGCACACGCACACGAACCGTACAATCCCAACTTATCAACACCGTCTGTTAGCTTGTTTTACGCCTGAATGCGCTGATTGCATTCAGGCGCAGGGGGTGCATGCACACAAACGAGTGCGAAGCACCACATTTCTTTGGCGGTTCCGAAAAACACAATTCCACTTGAACTTCACACGAACTAGGGGGTCCGGGGGCGTGTTTTTTCTTACCGTAGGCCACTAATGCGTAAAATCGCACCCACACCATAGACCGTATTTGTCAGCTATAACACCATCATCTAAAAATATATAGAGATAGCTGAAAGTCGGTTTTATCAGTTAGTGTTAGGCGTTGGGCGCACACGGCTTAGGCGATATCGGGGACCAACGCACTTACAAGGCGACTGTTGTACTTGTGTGTAGGGCCTGCAAGCGCATGCGTGGTGTATGATGTTTAGCGCGGCATTATAGTGGTAGCGGTAAAAAATACACGTCCGTAGATCCGGGGCGCTGGTCGAATGGAATTCTTGACTGGATTGATTCCGCCCGGCACACGCTCACACCACCAACACAAGCCACACACACACACGCACACAGGACCACACAACACACACACGCACAGACGCTCACATCAAAAAAAAACACACACACAGCCACCACACACACCACACACGCACAAGTAGGTCACACGACACCACAGTCGGCAAAGACTCAACACTCACAATGCATAGCGAGTGATGTGAATTACGCCTAAAAAAATAATTGTTTACTCTAAAAGAATCGTTAACTAAAAGGAACTACAAACTGTTAAATATCTGTTAATTATAAGCTCTTCATATTTTTTCTACCGTTCAGCATTACCGGGTGCTCTCTCCAGCTTGAGAATGTGACTAAGAAATCATTTAAATGTATCGTTTTGGTACAACTATTGTACTTCCAGTATGGCAGAAACCATCGGGCATGCTTACTTGCTGTCATAAGTTGCTTCAAACGTTACAAATACTGTGTTTGCTCGCAGTGACCCTGTGAAGCAAGCGGATCAGCCCCGAGGAAATGCAAAATTATCAGAATTGGATGGATCCAGTCAAAATAGAATCAGGGTTGTCCGTCAGGTGACTGAGAGTTGAGCTTTAGTTTTAGTTCACCTATTGATCGTGCATTTAGGTTCCCCCCATGCATAGCGAGTGATGTGAATTACACCTAAAAAAAATAATTGTTTACTCTAAAAGAATCGTTAACTAAAAGGAACTACAAACTGTTAAATATCTGTTAATTATAAGCTCTTCATATTTGCGCAAAATGGCGGGCGCTGCGCTACCTTTGTGTTGTTATGGCAGCGATTGATTATAACTATTTATAAATCACGTGTAAAGACTTCGTCATTGCAAGCGTTTAATTTACAACGTTCGTAGCGGAAATATTATAGATTTCGAAGTGAATTTCATACAGTGTGCTCAGCACTCATGCAATAATGGCGTGTTCGAGTGATAAATACTATATTGCTCGTTGTGATAAATGATCGCAAGGTTTTATATGTAAATATTTTAGTATGTTTTTTTGTATAAGAAACACGTGAGTGTATTCGGCAAAAAAACCATTTCACAGATTAGTAAAGAACGTCAAATATTGTAGATTAATTGCGTCGGGCGTCAGTTTATTCCACAATTTGTTCGCAGGCAGAGGAAAAATAAACGACAATATAAAAAAGTTTATTGTCACATTTGCGTTAAACCTTGTTTGGCCTTCATGTCTTTAGAGAAAATTATTTTCTGTTATTATACATTGTACGGTTTGCTACTATATGTATTTTTTGCCAATTACAAGGCTAAATTATACTATTATATCAATAAGTGCATACATGAAATCATTGCTGTTTTTAAACGCCAGATTTAATATAATAAAAGCTGTCGTCAAAACTATGACATAATATATATCCGAACTTTAAATGAGTTTTTTGGTAACAAAAATGAAGAAATTATTGATTTATGTCCACAAAACCTTCACATAAAGCTGATGTGGTTTATGAAAACCACAGACACGCGCGGTACATTTGCTATTGATTAATACAGAACCTCCGATGACTAATCAATATGGCACGTAATAGAAACTTATAAATAGATAAGCATGTTTATCTCAGAGTCTTCTCTCATCATTATCATTTACCAATTTGGAAAAGATTCCATTCGTCTCTGTTGCTTCTCTGATTTAGGCTAATTTACGAATATAGACCGAATGCTAATATATCATGCACGCGCATGAAAGGATATCTACGCGGGCGTACATATGACACAGACCGATGTGACATAATATATAATTTGACATTCAAAAATTGCCAACGTGTGAAAAAAAGGAATTTGACATATGAAGCGCTGCATATTCGTTTAGCAAGTTGACGCGCCGTACGAAGCCTCGTTAATCAATCATTCTACCTGCGCATGCAGCAAATTTGGAAGACAGAGAAGATAGGTTTAAATATAAACTGCAATGACAAACTAGGAATTATTCCTAGTCAAATGTTATCGTATAATTTTTGTTTGCAATTGAGATTGTTTAACAATAATTTTTCCGTGGTTACGATGCATATCTGTATGCATCACTAATTACCTTATATTCTATACAGACAAAGAATATGTTGCATCATTGCGCTTCATTTCCACCAGGCCGTTACTCCCTCTCTCTCCCCCCTCTCTCTTTCTCTCCCCCTCTGTCTCCCCCTCTCTCTGTTTCTGTTTTATATTTTACTACTGTGCACCTGCGAGGCATCGGGTTATTGACGTGGAGAGCGAGATGACGTCATCAGAGCTACCGTGTGATTCATCGCTTGCCATTTCTCAGCATCTTCAGCATTAGCTTGATGTAACTGACCATGTTCTGTTTACACTGCGCGTGCGATGTGCAGTCCAGCAACCCGCTGCGATCACCTTGTGTTTGCTCCATGTCAGTCTCGTAGAACCCCTCTGAGAAAGAGTAAAACAAGTAGACGTAGACGTACGCTCATTGTTATCCATCTCATCCGGAGTGTATAATATATCTATCTATCTATCTATCTATCTATCTATCTATCTATCTATCTATCTATCTATCTATCTATCTATCTATTTATCTATCTATCTATCTATCTATCTATCTATCTATCTATCAATCAATTTATCTATCGATCTATCTATCTATCTATTTATCTATTTATCTATTTATCTATTTATTTATCTATCTATCTATCTATCTATCTATCTATCTATCTATCTATCTATCTATCTATCTATCGATCGATCTATCTATCTATCTATCTATCTATCTATCTATCTATCTATCTATCTATCTATCTATCTATCTCTCTATCTATTTATCTATATATCTATTTATCTATCTATCTATCTATCTATCTATCTATCTACCTATTTATCTATCTATCTATCTATCTATCCATCTATCTATCTATCTATCTATCTATCTATCTATCTATCTATCTATCTATCTATCGATCTATCTATCTATCTATCTATCTATCTATCTATCTATCTATCTATCTATCTATCTATCTAAACTCAAACAAGTGCCTTCCATCTAAAGAACAAGG